GTGGATAGATTTACACCATGCAAAACTGCATTGAATAAATGGCGTGTTTAAATGGTGTCTTTGAACAGAGAGCGTCTTTTTATGAACCCGACAGTCAAGCGATGATAACACCTGTCCTCATAACATTCGAAGCGGGATTGTAAAACGGGAAAGGCCTCCCCGTGCAAAGTCTTCTACACCCTTGTGCAATTTAATTGAACTAATCAATTTAGTTTCCTTTCATTCACCATACGGTCAGTTTTAGAGCCACTGGTGTGACAGGGTGTAATCCATTTTCTATGTTTACCTCTGATTAGGTCATTTGCAATGGTGTGCAGTAATATGAAACAATTTTCGAGGTGTATGATGAAATTTTGGGGGGCTATAACAATATTGTGCCTTCCGTGATTGCATCAGATGTTTATTATGCCCAGACACTTTTGTCTCGACTGTTGATTTGTTGTCCAATGGCCATTGTGTGCGATGGACATTTTGCAATGGTGTGAACACACAGGCAAGCCTTGCCATTGAGCAAATCAGAGTACAATTTACTGTCACGGAAACTCTCTGATTTAAAACCAATCGAGAATTTGTGGTCAGCCTGCAAGGACCGACTTAATACTGGAATGGACATACGAAGTGGGGCAAACGAAAAAGTAAATAATAACTGAATTATTCGTTTTGTTTCAATTAATTTGCACAAAAGGTATATATATATATATATATATATATATATATATATATGAACATAGAAGTCAACACTTAGAGGCGACAGTCCGTTTTATGCCATATGCAATGAAACCTAGGTTCACTTTTTTATTTTTCTCTGGCTCTTTTATTCCATAAATATAGCACACCTTAAGACTATATTTTCTTTTATATATATATATATATATATATATATATAGATAGATAGATAGATATATATATAGATATATATATATATTTCTGAAAAAAAACCCTCGAATTTCTGATTTGCCAATAATCAAATCAATCTCGAGAGAAAAAAGGTTTTAAAAAAGAAAGAGCTAGAAACATGAAAGTCTGTCGAAAAAACACAGATGTAGGTTTGAAGCCCAAAAAAAAAAACCCGATACGAGCAAACAACTAACTAACAAAAGAGCTCAATACAACCGTAGAGCAGACCTAGATGTTAGTAAGCCAGACAAGTTACCCAGGTTTTAAGCGGATCGTCAGGGAAACTTTTACGATCCGTTTAGGGTGAAACCTAGGTAAGTTTCTCTGGCTATTATATATATATATATATATATATATATATATATATATATATATATATATATATGTTTTATCTTGCTGTGGTGAGCACATTGTGACCGTGTTCATAGTTAATTTTATTAAATGCTGGTTATTCTTTTTATTATTATTATTATTGTATTATTATTAATAATAATAATAATAATCTTTTCCTATATGTGGATGAGGCTATTAAGCATGTATTTTCACCTCTAAGATTCGGAATGACTCCTACTGTCAGGTAGGTTTAACGTGAGTCATCTCGATAGGCTTTTAGCAGTATGACCGCTGTAATTATTTTAGGCACTTTTTACACACTTTGCGTGCAGAAAAGAAAACACGTGTGCGGACACAAGAAAAATTATATAATACTTATAAATAAATACTTATATTTCAGAATTATTTGCCATTTACTAATTCATGTGTGCTGTGGCCTGTTTAGGGGCCAGAAAGAAAGACACGGAAGACGAAGGTAGGTTGAACAAGTATATTGAAGATATATACAAAACAATGGTACATTATTTACATTATTCGGACTATTGTCCTCAACTTTGTCGCCATATTTATTACAACGTTTCGGCCGTTGTACGCTCAGGTCTTCTTCAGGTAGTTGGGATGTCGAACTGAACCCTTTATTTCGCTCACGGGGGTAGACTGTTCTAGTTCCATGTGCCATGTCTAATGGATGTCAATTATCTGTTATCTATGGCGACAAAGATGAGGACACTAGTCCGAATAATGTAAATAATGTACATAATACCTCATCTCAGAAATATAGACAGATACAAAGCAATAGTGTTAGTAATAAGTAGATTAGCACTACGTCTATTACTCCACTTCACTTCACCTATCCGACTCTCGCAGTTTGTATTTATGGGAGGAGGAAGAGTTCATTCTACTGTAGGGGGGTTTACCACAACAATGTGGACACGCGGTTTATTTGCAAGCAGCTCTGTAATGGAAGTATTTTTATTCTAACATTCTTACTACTGTTTAATAAATAAAAAAAAACATGTGACGTTTATTTTAAATACGAGTATCTACCATAATAACATTTAAAGCAGTAAAAAAATGGATTAATATTAAATCCATTGAGACTTTAGAAATTGCTTTTTTTTAGGTTTCGGATATAAAACTGAAGTTGTAATGCTTTCGAAAAAATAATCCGAGGGAAGTGGACCTATGTTCCTTAAAAAGAAAAAATACAGTGTGCGATAAGCAGATTGTCGCCATTTCATATTTATAATTTCGTTCATGTGCGTTGTTTATTTTTGATTTTATCGACTGCACAGTATAGTACAGTCAGCTGGGCAGCGATGGGCATTATGGTCCCATGACGCAATTTAATCGGTCATAAGTTTGGAAACGTAATGCTTGGCTTTCTCCCTAGAAACTCCAATACAAACATTTTAGAGTGGTTGGCTGTCAATATGAGGACAGTGCAGAAGATTCGGAAAGAGTTGGATGAGTCTAATGATGATTACGAAGGTACGGTAGTTCGGAATAATAACTGATCATTCTGATGTGAAAAAAATGAATTTGTTAATGAGGGCCTCAGACTCAACACGGAGGCCTGCATCAAGTGATTTGAGAAGGTAGTGCGGCCCTGGGCCAAGAAGGTGACTGCTGGAAGACCCTATGTCTCACAACAGGATTCTGCACCATGTCACATCTACCACATGCCACAGGAGAACACAGTCACGGCTGTCAGACAATTTCTGCGACAATACCCACCATCACATCTAGCCAACTAACTCTCCAGACTGCAAGGCCTTGATTATTATGGGTAGGGCGCAGTTGAGCGAGAGGCCAATAATATTTTTTCTGACAGCAAAGATGAACTGAAATCAAGAATTATGGCGGCATTTACCGTCCAGAAGAGATGCAGGAGATGCCGAATTTGTCTGGTGGCCGTGGAATAGGGTCATTATTATCACAATGTGCCATATATATATATATATATATATATATATATATATATATATATATATATATATATATACATTTTCCGATTTATTTCTTTGATTGAGTATTTCTGTTTAATGCTTTTGACAGAAGTTCCGCTAGCATGAAAAGTACGTATAATTCTCGTAATTTTAATAGAGTTTTAATGTATGTATTATCACTATACAGACAGACATACAGACAGACAAACACACACACACACACACACACACACACACACACACACATATATATATATATATATATATATATCTTTACAAAACGATGTTTTTTTCTACAAAGTGTTCAAAACTCCAATTATAGGAAATTCTGTTAAAAACAGAACAAACAAAAAAATACTGATCTACTAAAAATAATGTTTGACGTAATAAAAATAGATAGATAGATAATGAATCAATAGATTTATTTTTACCCGAAATTTTTAGGAAAACAACCAACAAAGAATATCCCTTAAACGGCAATTGCTTGCAGAACAATGTAATATATCAAGCTAATGTCAAGCTAGAGATAACGAAGAAAAATATGCATTGGAATAACTGAAAGATCCTGGAAACAAATTAACTAGACACACAAAACATCCTTTACAAATAGTAAATACGCGAACCCCACAATGTTTTCTAAACATATCTGGGATATTAAAAACAAAAAACAAATCACACCAAACATATGGAAAATAAGAAAAACAGCAACAGCCTGAAACAATAAATCCAAAAACTGTAAACCACCCCTGGATGAAAAAAAAGCTTTAATTAGCTTCCCAGACAAACACAAACTACTAAATAAATGAAATGAACACATCACAAAATACAGACACGAAAACAAATTTTTACTACGCTACTTAAAAATCTAAAATGAACGAGAATAAACGAAAATAAAATAAATAAACAAAAATATGTAAAATAAATTAATCCAAACAAAAAATAAGTAAATAAACTAAGTAAATAATAAACATGTTAATAAACCATGAACTATGTAAATAATAAACATTAATAAACCATGAACACGAGAAAATGGAGTAACAGCGATCAACAATAAATAAATAAATAAAAAAAAGCAAAAACTGCATCCGGATCCACAGTTATTCCCACTCAATAGCCCATAGAATAATTCGAAACACAACCGTTACCGCTCACCGTTAGAACAATACAATAGACAACCCACAATGCAACTGTTCACATTATTTATATTGTTCGCGCTGTTGCCTCAGCTTTATAGCCATATTCAAGAGATTTCGGCTGTTGTACACTGCGGCCTTCATCAGGTGGTTGGAATTTCGAAATGAACCTTATATTTAATCCGCGTTACAGTCAATTGAAGAAAGCCGGAGCGTACAACGACCGAAACGTCGTGAATATGACAATAAAATGAGGACAACAGGCCGAACAATCTAAATATATATATATATATATATATATATATATATATATATATATATATATATATGGAAACATTGTATTTGAGCAAATGAAGCGTATTTTGGTAATCAAAGTTCATTACTATTTTCATACATAGGAATGTTTGCTAAAATGCAGATAAACTTATTTAAACCCGTCTTTTCTTAAAGATGAAATAAATAAGGCTAATAAAAACACGATAAAAGAAAGAAATGTCCTATTTTAATGGCATTGGAAAACTAAATGAAGCAATTTATGTAACTAGGCCAATCTAATCTTATGAGAAGGTTACTTAATTTTCCATCGTGATCTCACAAAGGTGCGCTCAAGAAAAAAGTATCCTTTTCCTTTCTTCTTTTTTTGGTTAATACCTATCGATTGTTTTTCTTCATGGCTATAAATGTATATTTATAATATAGCTACAGTCGTAGATAGGTAGATAGATAGATAAATAGATAGATAGATAGTGAATTGACTGAACTGGATAGATAGATAATGGACTGACTGTGAGATATATATATGAAGAAATATACTCTTAATGTGTGCTATATTTATGGGATAAAGTGCTCAATATCAGAGATAGAGTGTGTATAAAAGGGAACATTGAAGACTGTTTCACTGTATCTCGTCCGATTGCTTCAAGCCGGCATCGAAACCCGATCGATTTGACATTGGTCAGAGATCTTGCCCCTAGGCTATCATAGATAGATAGATAGATAGATAGATAGATAGATAGATAGATAGATAATGAACTTGATGTAACAGTTACAACATAATGAGTGTGCTTTTTATTAACAATAATCAGTCATATATATATATATATATATATATATATATATATATAATTATTTTTTATAAAAAAAATTTATAACATAAATATGTTATAAAATCACTACAAAAATAGCCATTTTGTATTCAATACCATCGGTGTCTTATCAAGTGATGATGTTGAATATAAATAAATTTTTTTTTAAAAAATAATTATATCTGATCTACTTTGTATTGGGCACTCTTTTAAGAATAGTAATTGTTGGTTATTGGAATTCATTCCGTATATACCAATTATATACTTGGATATATATATATATATATATATATATATATATATATATATATATATATATATATATATATATATATATATGTATATGACTAGATTATTATTAGTTATATATATATATATATATATATATATATATATATATATAATCTAATAAATATATATATATATATATATATATATATATATGACTAGATTATTATTAGTTATATATATATATATATATATATGACTAGATTATTATTATTAGTATATATATATATATATATATATATATATATATATATATATATATATATATAACTAGATTATTATAAATAAAAGCACACTCATTATGCTGTAACTGTTAACAAACTACTTATGTAGGACATTACAACGAAGAAGTTAATTCCTCAATTCTTCTCCCTAAAAATAATTGTTTGGCATTTTACGTAAAAGTTGCTAAAGCAAGTAATTAAATCTAAAGACCTCGTTCTCGTTACCCACGCATTGACATCTCACTGCATCTAATCGCTTAATGAACGCCTCGTGCAAGTCTCATTCCCGAATCTTTAAACTAATCCTTTCTTCGTTTGCCTATTTTCATAATTTAATCTCGATTTCTTATCTTCTCCTCCTGTATAGTTTTGAAACGACCTAAAGAGGAAATTGGTTTTTATTATTTTCCTATTTTCAATTGAAGTAATCAGTATAGAAAATGAAATCTGTTTATTAAACGTTGTCAGTGGTTGGAAAGCGGGAGGAATTTCAAATTGACTTAAAACATATTTTGGTAATTACCTTTTTTTCATTTGAAAATACTTCGGTTACTCAGTTTTTCAATAAATAACAAAATCAACGTAATTCTTTTTCCAGAGTTGAAAGCATTCAAACAAAAATAAATACATTTACTTTTTTTAAGTTTAAGTAGATATTTACAGCGTTCAACTCAGTCTACCAAATAGCCAAAGGGTGGGGTGAGCAATATAGTGAACCAATTTTGTAAGCTTCTCAGCTATCCTATATCGAAAGAGTAGATACATGTGAAAAGATTAAGACGAAGTTTTCAATAAATAACACCGGCACGTAGATAGATAGATAGATAGATAGATAGATAGATAGATAGATAGATAATCCACTGACTGTGATAGATAGATAGATAGATAGATAGATAGATATAGATAGATAGATAGATAGATAGATAATCAACTGACTGAGATAGATAGATAGATAGATAGATAGATAGATAGATAGATATGAAGATTTCAATAAATCACACCAGTAGATAGATAGATAGATAGATAGATAGATAGATAGATAGAAAACTGACTGTGATAGATAGATAGATAGATAGATAGATAGATAGATAGATAGATAGATGTGGACAGACTAATATAGATAAATAGATATGAACAGACAGTATTAGATAGATAGATAGATAGATAGATAGATAGATAGATAGATAGATAGATAGATAATGAAATGCTGATAGATAGATAGATAGATAGATAGGAAAAAACTGTGATTGATGGATAGATAGATATATAGATACATAACGAACAGAATGAAATAGATAGCTCTTCTATTATGTACCGTGTCCCTTCAGGACATGGTCTATCATGGGCCTCCAACACTTCCTATGTCTTGGAACCCTTAGCAGTTTTTGCTCTATTTGCTAAAACCTCCAACCCCTGTTCCGCTATCCATTCACACAATTTCGTCAGGGAGACGCTGACCCCCCACCCCTCTCTATCTCTCTCTCTCTCTTTCTCTCTCTCTCTCTCTCTCTCTCTCTCTTTCCCTTTGTATTCCCTATGAGGATTAACTTTCCCAAGCCCTCCTTCTTCATGATGGACCCAATAAATTTTAGCTGCCTTTTTCTTATGAGCATGTGCTTAATTTTTATTGCCATTTTCTTTAAGACGTCTTGGTTGCTTACCCTCTCCGTACACGAAATCCTCAGTATCCTTCTGGAGAACCACATTTTTGTTGCCTTCAATTTCGTCTCATCCTTGGAGAGATTATCCAGCATTCACTGCCATAGAATAGGATGCATATCACATGGCAATCCAGTGCTCTTTTCTTTGTTACTAGCGAGTTTTTACCGTTTCTCAGCATTTTGCTTAACTTTTGGAATGCCCCTTTCCATAGTCCAATGTGTGTTCGGATTTCGGTGTCACATATTCCATCCTCGGCTAAAACATTTCCCAGGTATTCAGATTTATGTAATTTCTTCATTTTGACATTTCCAATTTAAAACTGTAGGAATTGGTACCTGATTGCATGTGTGCGAGTGAGTTTGTGAGAGTGGAATGAATAAAACCCCAGGTTCGAAATAACTGTTCAACAGCTTTTATTTCTGGTTGAAAGAGAGTGCAAAATAGTACTATTTTGCGGGGAAAAAGTGGAGGTTTCCCAATTAACAATATTCTTGAGTAGATGTTTTACAGAGAGACAGAGAGAGAGAGATATCTCCACTAGTTCTCACGGGAGGAACAAGAAATCTGAGAGTGAAACTGCTAGAGCAGGCCTCGTTTTCTACAGAAAGGCTTGTGGGTAGTTTTTCCTTTGCATGTGTCTTGAAGGGAAATTTCTCCGCCAGTTTCTACGAGAGGAACAAGACATCTGAAGTCAGGTTGCCAGGACAGGCCTAGATTTCTGCAGCAAGAGTTGTATGTAGACCTTCCAGCAGGACTTGAAGGTAGATGCCGCTGAAAATGAAAAGTGGGAAATTGGCCGAATAGCATTTTCATAGGTTATGGGACTTCCGGTTTTATTTAGCTGATTATTTCCGTTGCTGGTGATTCAAGCAAATTAAGGAAGGCCTCCGCCTGCCTCAGTAGCCAACACATGAGTTAGCTTTTATACAAATCGCGTTTTGGACTTTCTCTCTTCCTGATGAACATATATTCTGTCTTTTTTCAGTTGATAGTTCTATTTTTTTCCTCGTTTTCTTTTACTATACTGTCTAAAAGGTTCTGTAATTTACTTTCCACATCGATTTATAAATAGGTAGATAGATAGGTTATTTTTCTACACCCTCGGGCAAATTGATTGAAACTAAACGAATAATTCAGTTATTATTTACGTTTTTCGTGTGTTTTCAATGAAAAATGACCCAGTGCACATTTTAGTACTTCGTATGTCCATTCCACGAAGTAGTTCCTTGCAGATTGACCACAGATTCTCAATTGGTTTTAAATCATGAGACTTTCCGGGCCAATCTATAATACCTTGATTTTCAACACTGGTAAGGCTTGCGGGTGTGTTCGTGCAGCGTTAAAATTTTCGTTTTCGAAGACAATGGCCGTAAGACAACTAATCGACAGTCGAGACAATAGTGTCTGAGGATAATAATAAATCTAGAAGTTGACGCATTATTTTTCAAGGACAAAAAAATGTCATCATACACCCCGAAAATTGATTCATATCACTGCACACCACAGTAAATGACGTATTCTGAAGAAAAATAGAAATCAATTACACCTTGTCACTCTAGTGGGTCAAAACTGATCGTATGGTGAATGAAAGGAAACTAAAGCGGTTGTTTCAGTTATTTTACAAATGGGTATCCCAGTAAATATACATCTATCTATCTATCTATATATATATATATATATATATATATATATATATATATAGTCTTAAGTTGTCCTATATTTATGGGATAAAGTGGTCAATATCAGAGAAATATAGTCTTAAAAGTTGTCAACCTTATGTTTTATGGGATAAATCGTCAGGCCCAACGATCAGAGATAACAGACTGTTCACTGTAATATATATAAATATATATATATATATATATATATATATATATATACAGAGGCGACAATATAAGATATTATGTGTATTATTTAAAAAGTAATGCATGATTAGCAATGGAATTTTTACCGAATAAAAATTAGGGTGTAATGCATAAATATTATACAAAGTTACAAAAAATTACATAATATTTTTTTTTATCTAAAGATTAAATGGAACAAAGGAAATAAGCTACTGGGCAAAAGTTAAAGAACGATGTTAATAATTTGCATAAACTTTTAATTTACATTGTTAAAAAACTCGATGGAGCTTTTTTTAACAATAAGTAAAACTTAATTTATCATTAGGAAATTATTTTTAAGCAATAGGGCAAATTCTACACGCAAAACGCTCTCTTTTGAAGAAAAAACTCATTATCGCTATCAAGAAAAAAGTCAATTTCCGAAGTTTCTGATATTTTTCATCGGTCTAAAAGTGTTGTTCATCGTGTAATTAGCAGGTATAAAACCGATAAAACGTTAGATGCAAAACCAAAAACATCGCAAAGATAAGATCGAAGAATTGTTAGAATATCTACAAAAAAACCGTTTTGAAACTGCTACATCAATTGCCCGTAAATTTAATGAAGAGACAGATAATAAGATCTCAAGGAAAACGGTTGCTCGCAGGTTAAAGAATGCAGGATTGCATGCCCGTATTCCAGCTTCGAAGCCTCTCATTTCAAAGCGAAACAAAAGGAGTATGCGAGAGAACATGGACTGACGCACAATGGGATACAGTTCATTTCAGTGACGAGTCCAAGTTTACTATATTTGGTTCTGAGGGCAAAACTTACGTACGCCGTAGAACAGGTGAAAGACTGTCTTCTCAATATGTCAAGAAAACCGTTAGGCTCAGAAGGTTATGGCTTTATTTGAAGAAGGAATCGCCCTAATGAAGTGGGCAGCCCAGAGCCCCGACCTGAATTCAACAGAAAATGTTTGGAAGATAATTGGAGAAAGGGCTCAGAAAAGAAACCCGAAAAACCAGGATCACCTATGGGAGTTATTGAAAGACGAATGGGTGGGAATTACTGCTGATTTTTGCAAGAAATTAATTAGATCATGTGTTCGACGATACAGAGAAGTCATTGAAAATAAGGGGATGTTTACCAAATATTACATTTTGTTGATCTTTTGTTCACAATCAAGTATTAACAAGATCGTTCCTTCATTTTTGTCCAGTAGCTTATTTCCTTTGTTCCATTTAATCTTTATTTTTTTAAAAAAACTATGATGTAAATTTTTGTGACTTTGTATAATATTTATACATTACACCTTAATCTTTATTTGGTAAAAATTTCCTTGCTAATCATGCATTACTTTTTAAGTAATAAACATATTTATGCCTTTGTTGTTTCCGTTCCTTATATTATGGCCGCTACTGTATATATATTAAGATATTTTAATGTTTATACATTCTTTTTATAGATACAAATATTTAAGTAAATGCTCTGTTTTATAAGAAACAGTATTAATAACATTTATCGGCCTGAATGTCCGAGAACTTTTCATAGAAAATATTCGTCCTCCGACAGGAATCGAGTGTGCTATATTTATGGGATAAAGTGCTCTATATTAGTGATAGAGTCTATGTAAATATGAATATAAAAGTGAACATTGAAGTCAACACTCAGAGGCCACAGGCTGTTTCATGATTAATGCAATCGTCAGGCCGCGAATGCTGTATTTTTACTCTACTATTTATATATATGGGTCAGTGGTGCATTGTGGGTAATCTATTTTGGCGGTTATTTTTACGAAAGTGGCTTGTTTGTTTATTGGAGTTAATTTATATTACTTGTTTGTTTTCATTTTCATTTTGTATTATTTATTCTCTTCTTTTTTTATGTTTTATTAACGTATTAAAACATTTTAGAGGGGGATTTGCTTACGTGGCTTATTTAAAAGTTTGTTTTGGTCTGGAAAGATAATTAAAGTTATTTATTCGTCCAATGTTTAGATTGCTTACCATAGTCTATTCTATTAGTCATATATATAAATAGCCGCGGAAGAATCCATCCGTCGTGGCCTGAAGACTGAAGATTGCGTCCAGCATGAAATGGCCTGTCGTCTCTGAGTGTTGACTTCAATGTTCACTTTTCATATATATATATATATATATATATATATATATATATTATTTAAATAAAAGCAGACCACTTTAAGGTTCCATGTAATAAGTTATTTAACCACAGCCCTTTTAAAGGACTGCAGATCATTAGACTTTACTTCCAAAGGTTGAAACAAAAAATGAAAAGAAATTTAAATATTTTTGACGGGCCGTATTAAACATATGTAAATTAACGAAGTTAGGAAATGAGTGGGGGGAGAAGACATAAGTGAGTTAGCAGACATTGGCACATTTATACGGCTAACTTAACAGAATTACATTGAGCTCTCTGGATATTATCTTCCTTAGGTTTAGCCATACGGATTACCTAGTTTTTCATAAACTAACTAAATCTCTCTCTCTCTCTCTCTCTCTATATATATATATATATATATATATATATATATATATATATATATATATAGATAGATAGATAGATAGTAATTATCGCTGAGCCACTATCTTCATTCAGCTGCCTTTTTCTTAATGGACATAAAACACACTAGAAAATTAATTTCATATTCAATATGATATTCATTAAAATAAAACACAGAATTATCCTTTAACGTAATCAATTTTTCAAGATAACACCCTACAAGACAAGAG